ATACAAACATGGTTCGCTGCCTATCCTTCTGTTCATTCAAAGAATCTAGAGACGAGAATGAGGTGGCAAACCTAGTGACCCCCGGCCTCACCAAGTCAGTCCCACTTGTAAATTCCCTCATCATCGCCAAGACATGGCTGTGGCTATAAATGAAAATAGTTATGACGTTGGCTTTTTCGAATATCTCATGCACCGATTTCTTTGTACGAATCTTTTCAAGCATGAAATCTATACCTTGAACCATGCAAGGAGTCTAAAAAATGTGCGGCTTTGAGGTTTCCAACATTCTAGCAGCTGCCATGTTGGCCTTAGCCATATCTGTGACAACCTGCACAGCATAATCTGCCCCTACCTCCTCAATGCATTGATCCACAACACCAAATATGAAGGTCGCATCATGAATCTTGTTGGATGCATCAATGGACTTCAAAAAGATAGTTCCCACGAGGCAATTAACCATTAAGTTCATGACACTCCTAGACCTCCTATCGGTTCACATATATGTCATAATAGTCACCCCAAATCTGCCCAAGCATCCTTGTGTGTCTTCAGATGGTCGTTTGTTAATTCCACCTCTTTCCTCAACAAAGGTCCCTTGAGCTCCTAAGGTGTAGGAGGCTTATATCCTAGGCCAAACTGCCCCATTGCCTCAAACATAACAATGAAGCTCTTTAAAGTGGCAGTGTTAAATGGTGGACCTGCTTGATAGTACCATTTAGCAGCGTATTGGTTCACTCTTTCTCTCTCCTGCTTCTTTAGAGTAGTATTTAAAGCACTTTGTATCGGCTCCCTTTCGCGAACCACCACATTGGGATCGGGATGTGAGAAGTATGTATCAAGAGGCCCATCTTCTTCGAGGTCTATTTATGGAGCCTCCTCCTTCTTCATCTTCATCATATTCAGGTCCATTGATGGTCACACTAGACCTCAAGTCTTCATGTCTCTCTGGATCTCTAGACCAATTGTTTCTTCTTTTGGACCCCTTGTTTCTTTCCTGACCTCTCCAAGGACTTGAGTACATGACGCTATATCCCCTTTTATGGCGGCCAAATGCTTTTTCACTCTATTAATGCCAACAGTGTACTTATTTTTGCAAAACTTGCAACCTACTCTATTCTTATCATTAGGGTTAGAACAGTAAGCATATTTTCAACCCGAATCAGTTTGTCTACTTGAAGCTGAGGAAGACATTTCACCTTCAACCTTTATCTATCAATTATCAACTTAACACCTGAGCCTGAAAAATAGACAAAGAAAACAAGGTCAAACTTGAAAAATTTAGAAATGGTTATCTAATAAAATTGCAATGATATCTAAAAAATTACATATAGGAAGCGACATTGACCCTTTAATATATTGGCTTCTTATTAAGCCCAACAAATAAATTTAGGTAACACATACACATCAAAATTCCAATGATATAACACAAAATCAAAAAAGAATATCACACATGCAATTATTTAATAAGCTATAAGGATTAAGCAAATATTAAACTAGTTAATAAAATAATTATGCTTTATGAATCATACATCAAGAAAACACATTGCACATGTAATTATTTAATAAGCAATTAAGAATTAAGCAATTATTAAACTAACTGATTAAATAATAATCCAAGATTCCAAATAGACAATAACATATCAAATATATATCACAAAGTATCAAAGAAAAAATACAAATAGCAAAAAATAACATCATTAGACATTAAGGAAAAAAATATAAAACCTAATGAAAACTATTGAAATATACCAACCTTCTTGTAGCAGACTTGATTTCGGACCAAACCGAAATGTTTGGGATCCCAAATCTCCTCTTTTACAACCCCTATAAGCCTAAAAACGATTGGGGTTGAATATCCTTTAATATCATGACCATTTGAGGATTTCGAAAAAAAATTTGATCTCTCATAAAATCTTTAAATCTAGTTTTTTTTCAAGTTGTTTCTCTCTCTAAAGCTCACTAAATGTTTTTTTTGGGGGCAAAAATTACCCCTCCAAACCCTTATCCCCCCTTCTAAGGGTGTAAAATGACCTTTTTTGCCCCCACCTAAAAATATTTTTCTTCCATAGCCCTGCGTGCCGCCTAAGCGGGCGCCTTTTACCACATTACTGACCGCCTAATCGGTCGACCGACCGCCTAGGCGGACGCCTAGTTCTGGCACCTAACAAGTACTGCCTTAAGAACGCCTGAGCATTTTTTAAAAATAGCCGCCTAGACGGCCGCCTAGTCAATCGGGCGGCTGACTTTTTGAACATTGGTTCCACATAGCGACAACTTTCAATTTGATGCCACCATGTCTTGTAGATGCACCTTCTCTGATGCAGTTTTGTTTCAACGCCTCTTCAACCTTACTAACATGCTGATACACTTTATCTACTTTTCAATGTCAATTTTCGGAAACCTCATCTTTGATCTGAAGCTTTAGTCCTTTAATATAACAAGCTACGGAGAATGAACTCCTCGGTTTCTTGCAGCCCATTTGCATTGAGAGTTTCTAAGACTCCTCTTTGTACACTTCTCTCCTTGCCACATGCTCTAAATTTTTGGAATAGAGCTTCGGCATAATCATACGGTAAGAACATTGGGTGCATATGTTTGTTCATTTCTCCCAATTGGCTAGTTTGCTCTTATCTTTCATCTCTCTGTAAGTTTGCAATTGTGACCACCAAATTGATGCATGATCCCTAAATCTAGTTGCGCGAATTTTGGCATACTAACGTTTCTGGAGATCCTTCCATCCGAAAAAGTTCTCCATGGTGCTGATCCAATTAAAAAAACTTCTAGGTCAATGTGTCCTTTGAACTCCGGTACATCTACCCTTATCCCATTGGCTTGAGCATATTCTAGGACTTGAATCACCCCCATCTCCTAGCCTCTCTTCTTTTGGCTCTGGTTGTGGACCATGGTGATAGTAGGGTTTAGATTGATTCCTCAAGAATCCTCTAAGTCTAATCCAGCCTCAGAGCCGAATTCTGGTTGTGTATCACATATTGCATCGATTGATCTAATCTTGCTCGAATATCTTGAATTTCATCCTCCATTTGAAGAATTTCTCCATGGGCCCCCTCAAACACAGCCTCTCCTTTCAATGATTATGATTTGTCGGAGATTTCTTTGTGATAGGATCCTGCTTTGATACTAGATAATGAAACCAGTAAATGAGTAGAAACAAACACAAGAGCTAACCATTTAGCAGTCTTGTTAATTAGATTGGAAATTCATCACTCTATTTTCAGGCAAAATAGAAGACATCTTATAGACTCCAAACCTAAGTCCATATGCTTCTAAGGACTCTCACGAAGCCACCATACATTGGATGACACCCTCAAAGGCTCTGCTAAATCAATAAAAATTCTTTCAAAACTATCCCTACTAACCTTTTGACAATTTCAAAACTACTATTTTGTAAGTTTATTGAAGACTTGGAGAGTTGGAACCTTGGAGTCCCTGTTATTATAAAATATGGAGAGTTGGACACTATTACTAATACATGGCCCATTATACTGGTTGGAATTTTGAAATTTTGAACAAGTTTATTCTCAACATTGGATATGTCATATGTTTGTATATAAAAAAGAAGGTTACAATATTTTCAAATACTAAATTACAAAGTTGACACAAATAGCTTATATGGGTGTTTGGACAACACATGTATAATTTTAAGAATTTATACTTCAGGACGCTTGAGGTTCTGGGCGCCTGCTTAGACGCCTGACTGGGCGCTAGGGGCTGCCTAGCATTTTTCTGAAACCTTGGACTGGCTTCATCCAATGGAACGAGACCCTGCTATTGACTGAATGAATTTTCTAAAGGAAAATATCTCTTAAACCAGACTGGTTTTTGGCCCAGTTTCTTCTTCAATCAAGTTAGGAGTCCTATCTGGTTTATATATACATCATTTTCATCATCATCAGAGCCATTTCCCAACTATCTGGGGTGGCTATCTAGTTTATATATACATGTGAGAATTTATGCCCAACACATGTTGGACACTCTCAGTCCTGTTTGCGAGGTTTTGTTTGTGTGGGTATTCTTTTCAAGGCAATGAAGAACTTTGTTGGACTTCTTTCACTAAGCAAACATTGGCATATAATGATTAAACTTTCTAGGATCCATGAAGCTGATTCATTCTCATTGCGTGCGATATAATGTAGGTTATTTTGAAATCCTACAATTTGTTGGGCCACAAACAAATTTATTTGTTTTAGGCTTTTGACTTCCCAAGTTTCGTGTAGACTAAAGAATTCTGTCCTTACTCTTAGCCATCAATGTGAATACTGTGGATACTCACTTGAATTGGAAATAAGAAGCGCCATTGTAAGCATACTATGTATTTTGAACACAGATTTTCCAGGGGGGTTCTTTCTTTGAAATAAATAACATTTCTCCTATGATAGCTTTAGAGATAAATCCACTTAGAAAGTATGAGAAAAACTGAGGCAATGGACCTTTCGACAGTCCTGAGTAGGATAAGTGTTTCCGTGTGCCCTCCATGATCATATCAAGAGTGACTAGCCTTGAGTCAAGGATTAAGTTTGATGGTCAAGCACCTGATAAGGAACAGTAAGGCAGTGTATGCTAAATGTTGGTTTTTCAGAGTGGTAGACATTGGATTCCTAACCTACTACCTAGGAGGTTGAGCTGAAAGGATTTAGCCGACCATTTTTTGGGCCAGGATCCTTATGCGTTCCTCATACATCTTGGTGGAAGGATTGGCGATCATTATGCATGCATGCCATGCTAACGAATTCAACAATTATCAATCATATTTACATGTGAAGACGTGCAAAACTTGAGATGTTGAATTTTACATTGTCGGAAGAGAATGTTATTTATCTGATCTCAATGCCTCTTAAGAAATATTTTTTTGCGTTCTTGCTTGTTTTTTGTGTGAATGTTTATTGCACATTCCAAATTTCAATTTTTTGTCCTAAGCCCATACAGAAATATCGAACACAAATGTACAAACTGATTTATAGACACTAATCAAACTTGCACAGATGTCAGTACAACAGCCAACAACAAAAGCTATACTAGTAAAGCCATTGCCAGGAAGCAATTGAGAAAGATGAGGAATGGGCCAGGCAGAAACCATTGCATGGGTGCTAGGGTTGACAAATCCGTGGGATTTAGGCCCGGCACCTTTGATCGTGTCCTTCTTGATGCTCCTTGTTCTGCTTTGGGATTGAGACCACGCCTTTTTGCTGGAGAAGTAAGATTTCCTTAGCTAAAGTTTGTTGTCATCATATCTTGTCTTGTATGAGCCATGGCCTTAGCTTAATGTTGATTTTCAATTATTTGTCGGTGAAATGTTTCTTATCTTAATGCTGAAAGTCATACTAACTTGAGGACATTATTTGTATGATTTGTTAGAGAAATTTCTGAACATGTAAGTGATGGCAATGTTTAACTTGCGTGAATTTCAGCCGTAAGCTGTAAATTGCTGGAATTTGTTTTAGCTTGAAAATAAACTGTTAGTTGGAACACACATCTCTATTATCTGTAAAGTCTTCTGAGTGTAAAGATTGTAATCGATAATATGTTACTCATTCCCCTAGCGTTTTTTAGGTTTAATTTGGGATTTCATCAGCAAGAGTCAACTTAATTTCTGAATTTAGATTTTTAGGGTGTGGACTTCTTATTGTATTCCATTGGATATGTGCTAGGTCATGTGGTAAAATGGGAACACCAAGTATAACTTGGAGTACACCATTCTTTATAACTTTATTCGATGGCAAACAAATCCTTTCCTAATATCTATGCGGTCTACCGGTCCTAAATTCTTTCGCAATTTTGTATCTAGATTGGAGACTAGGGCTGCCACATTATGTTTCTGAAAAAGTATAAATACAAGAGCACACAAATATCCATGGGTGCCACCTATGTTCAAAAATGTGGAATGGCTGACTCGGTGGGTGTCATGTTTCCTAGGTGGCCTAAGAGAGGAGTTTGGGGTGGATACGAGCACCCCGCCCTCTCATTCTACTGGTCTTAAGTTTTTGTTTCTGTTTTTCTTGTTTTTCTTCTTCTCATTCTCCTTCTCCTTCTCCTTCTCCTTCTTGTTCTCCTCCTCCTCCTCCTCCTCCTCCTCCTCCTTCAACTTCTCATTTCTCTTCTTCTTCTTATTCTTCTTCAGCTCCTCCTTGTCCTTCTCCTTCTCCTTCTTCTACTCCTGCTCCTCCTCCTTCATCGTCATCCTCCTCTTCTTCCTCTTCCTCTTCCTTTACTGAATTCCCTCTTTAGATCATTGAATTCCTCCCACATAACTTTGCCACCACAACCATAAACTCGATCTCCTCTAGTAGCTGTTGCTCAAAGTTGCAGCCTCCTCATGCACTTTGGGAATGGACATGTTTCGATACCAACTAATGCGGTGGATATTTTCTCAAGGAAAGAAATCCAAACAAACCATGGAGTCGATTGAATATTAAAGGGAAAGCCGACAGCCAAGCTTCATTGGCCACTTTGAATTCTGAAACCAAAGAATCAAAATCATAAGTTCTTTGATTGTGACATCAAGTCCTATTTATAAGCACTTACTCTTTAGTTCATTATATTTGGATGTCCTCGTTCCATTAAAAATCATGCTTCTCTCTAAGCCTTCTTCTTAGAGCCTAGGACTCCTATTTTATATTTTCTGGACATCCACGTGCCCAACTATTTCCTATCTTTTATTTTCTCCCACTTGCTAACAACTCTCACACAAATAGGACTTCTAAAAATCCCTAGAAATAAGGAAAAGAAAGGTCTTACCACTCTTCCCCCCATCAATATATGAAAACCGAATATGGGTCCCCTTTATCTTTTAAAGCTCAAATTGACCAATAACAAAAATGTCTAAAATTAAATAAATAGCGATAGTTAAAAATATGAATCATCTACTTCTGCATTATATTCATCCATCTAATCTTTTTAGTAGCATCAAGTCATCATTCATTCATCCATTTCTCGAGGCCCTCAAATAAGAGTCATCCTTCGTGTAATTCCCTTGATCTACAAACCCTCCAATAGAGTAGTTAAAAAAAACGCTCTAATGCCATGTCAGAGTCTAGGGAAACCCAGGAGAGTAGGAAAATAGGACTGATTCTAATTAACTGATTGTATACAATCATGAGACTATCCCTTATATGCAATGTATGTAGGATTCAAAAGACTAAAATCCCCCCTCACAAACTCTTCTGCATAACATATCCTATAAATGGAAAAGTGAACACATAGAATGAAACTTGTGACGCTTGACTCATTGTAGTCATTCATTATTAATGACATTAGCCGTGATAGCAAACGACCACTGCACCTTTTGGAGACTGAGGAATAATACTTGTTTCTATCCTAAACACTCACTTCATTTGATAGTTATGGTTAGGGATTAGGATCCCTTGTCTCATTACTGCCCTCGCATCTATCTCTCTTTCTCTCTCACTCTCTCTCTCTCTCTTCCCGCCCCTTCATTTTGCACCTCTCCATGCATCATGGGTAATGGATTTCCAATTCATGTGTTAGTTTAACTACAGTAGGGTCCCAATTGATGTGTCAGTGTTTTTGTTTTTGTTAAGACTATAGTACCAAAGAGCAAGAAGAAATCGATCAGAGGAAGAGGAGACAGGAAAGTTCGAGAGAGAGAGAGAGAG